ACCACACTTTCAGGGACAGCAACTGAAAGAGCACAGCTCCCCAAACAGTTGCTGCAACGCTACAATGCTCCTGCTGGAGGAAACACCAAAACTGAGTCTACTTTTAAAGCTTGATGAAGCAGTGCTTCCTGGGAATTGTGGGAGGAGCTATGCTCTTTCTGGTGCTGTCTTGAAAGTGTAATTCCAGATAAATTCAAACTAAACCTAAACTCACTCCCACCCCTATTCTATCTACCTTGTAAAAGAAAAGATGCCTAGACCTACCTATTCTGAAGCCGCTCTAGTGCAGTCACCTGATCAGGTTCCAAGCCCAGTTTCAGTGCAGAGGGGAGGCAGCGATAATTGCTGCAGAGCCTGGGCAATGGCATAAGACTTAGGCTTACTATGGGGCAGGTGTTGTCCTCTGTCCTTCATCTACACTGAAGCCAGTGCAGGGATCATAAAGCATGGAACATCTTTCTTTCACAAGGTAGATAGAACAGTTGAAAGCCAGCCAGTAGAAAACTGAACATTCTGTCGATCAAAAAACAAAAATAGCTCATATGATTGTGCCATCATTTATTCCTTTTTTCTTAAAAAAAAAAAAAAAAAAAAAACCCACAGCATGTAGTGTCGCAGCCAGCACACTAATGATGAGAAAAACTAACGATTAGACAATTGACGCAAATTTCATTTGGTTTTCAACTCATCTATGGCCAGCTTTAGAAAGAGGGTGGGAGCAGTTTAGGCATAGTTAGAATTAATTTGGCTAGAATTACATTTGAAAGACAAGTTGGAAAAAAAAATCCCATACTTACCAGTCCATGGAGTCCGGAGTTGTCTTCCTGACGTTCTCCATGCACCATTGTGCTTTCAAGCTGTCATCTTGAAACTCCTGTTCCTCCTCGATTTCAGGTGGCACCTGCACTGGTCTCTGCCAGAATGAAAATCATGCGATACTTTATCCCTCCTGGGATCTGTGATGTGAAAATACCTGGAGACAGTGGGTGGCTGATACTCCTCACCTAGGCAGAGAATCAAGAAATGATGGACTGCACCACTAAACAAGAACAAAAATAACTTCTTAAATTTATAAACAGTGACTAAAAAAAGTACACATAAAACACAACGTCCAATTGATATAAAAGGATAAAAGAAAGAAAAAAACTTCCACCAAAAAAAATATAGAATAAAATTATAATTTGAAAAGTTCAATTCATTCCAGTGGTAATCCCAAACCTTTACTTTTTTTTTTTTCTAAAACGGTGCAGCACTACAAAGTTGAGGTTTCACCGATCGCCGATAACAGGGTGTGACTTAATTTGGTTACTCACCAGCTTCTGGTGAATGTTGAATCCAATGGGGTGTTAATCACAGCAAGGATCACATGGATGGTGGATCACTTTGTCTTAAAAAGACACCTACCACTGGAATGAATTGAACTTTTCACATAATTTTTTTTGGTGGAAGTTTTTTTCTTTCTTTTATATCAATTGGACATTGTGTTTTGACATAGCGCTGTTTATATGTACTTCCTCCTGGAGAACCCAGAAATGGTCCTTTTCTTTTTCTCTTTCGCTTGCGACTTCTCACTTTGATTCCTAGGGATGTTACTGCGGATTCTACACTGGTATGAAAGAGGGATCGAGGTGCTCAGGTCTGTGCTGGGTGAGTGGATGGGCTGCTGTGCTATAGAGGGAATGTACCTACAGATATATACACTATATTTGCAAAAGTACTGGGACGCCTGCCTTTACACGCACATGAACTTTAATGGCATCCCAGTCTTAGACCATAGGGTTCAATATTGAGTTGTCCCGCCCTTTTCAGCTATACTAGATCCAACTCTTCTGGGAAGGCCGTCCACAAGGTTTAGGAGGGTGTCTATGGGAAGGTTTGACCATTCTTCCAGAAGCACATTTGTGAGGTCAGGCACTGATGTCGGACGAGAAAGCCTGGCTCACAGTCTCCGCTCTAATTCATCCCAAACGGTGTTCTATCGGGTTGCAGGCCAGTCAAGTTCCTCCACCTTAAATTTGCTCATCTATTCCTTTATGGACCTTGCTTTGTGCACTGGTGCGCAGTCATGTTGGAACAGGAAGGTGCCATCCCCAAACTGTTCCCACAAAGTTGGGAGCACGAAATTGACCAAAATGTCTTGGCATGCTGACCCATTCTTTCACAAATGTTTGTAGAAGCAGTCTTCATGCCTAGATGTTTTATTTTATACACCTGTGGCCATGGAGAGGATTGGAACACCTGAATTCAATGATTTGGAGGGTTGTCCCAATACGTTTGGCAATACAGTGTATGTGGTGGGGACAATTTACTTTTCCACAATTATTTTTAGATATCTTCCCATTCACAAGTTCCCACTAACATCATTGATCTTTTTAGCGATCTATAAGGGGCTAATTCTTTCCAGTGATCACAAGCGTAAGGAGCATGCTTCCCCCTGACCATCACACTAATGTATCATGAGTTGTAGATATAGAGACTGGAAAGTTATTTCAAGGGTTATTTTGTGTTGAAAAGGTTGAGAAATGCTGCCTGAAAGTGTAACTAAAGGCAAAACTTTATTTTCCATTTTGGATATGGTAATGGAAGGTTAGAACCAGTCAGAGTTTTTTTTTTGCCATCTGTGTTTCTGTTGGGGAGAGTTACTGTATTTTTTGCTTCATAAGACGCACTTTTGTCACCCCCCAAAAAATGGGGGTAAATGTCTGTGCCTCTTATAGAGCGAATGTGGAGCGGCTGGCCCAGTATTCCCACCGCCACCATGTTAGAATACCGGGCTGGCCGCTCAGCTCTACTGTGCAGAAGAACCTGCTCTTTTCGTCCAGCGGTGTCCTGCTTTTACTGGCCGTCTTCTCTCCCCAGCGCTGGCATCTTCAGTGTGGGCACCCGGCTGCAACAACCGGGTGCCCACAGCGCATGCACAGGAAGCGCTGCGCTTTGTGAGGCGCACTCCCAGCAGAAAGACAGGTACACAAATTAGCGTCCCCATAGAAAAAAGCCCAGTTCTGTGAGGCCACTAATTTTCATGCGGTCAGCGTCAAAGGGTTAAGGGAATTCCTTGGGACCCCCAGGTCACCAGAACTAGTGTCCCCATTGGAAAATTTCCCCTCTATTACTTTTCTGGGGACAACCCAAAATTTGGGATTCTTTTAATTTCAATAATAATGGTAAACAGGACAAACAGAGAGGACAGATCTCCCTAATGGGGGTACAGACAGCAATAAAAACTGACAGTTGTTCTAAACCATCTTTAGTTGTATATAAGTGCCTGACTATGCCCATCCTTTTTGCCAAGCTTCTCCATTCATAGCAGCTATTACAGCTTCTATGTGTGAAATATAATCTACGAATTATGGGGGCAAACCTTATAGGTGTTCTAATACCTCTTTACCCTATCCAAAACTAAAAAAAAAGTTTTTGTTTTAGTTATACTTTTAAGTAAATACAAAATATATTTCTAAATGTCAAATATTGAAAGACAATAGTATCAAAAAAAATCACACACATAGTGTATATGTATATATATATATATATATATATATATATAAAAATAATATACATACACACACTTAACAAAAAGTATTGGCCCCGCCCCTCCAAATCATTGGATTCAGGTGTTCCAATCACCTCTATGGCCACAGGTGTATAAAATCATCACCTAGGCATGCAGACTGCTTCTAAAGACATCTGTGAAAGAATGGGTCGCTCTCAGGAGCTCAGTGAATTCAAGCATGGTACCGTGATAGGTGGCCACCTGTGCAATAAGTCCATCCGTGACATTTCCTTGTTACTAAATATTCCACAGTCAACTGTTAGTGGTATTATAACAAAGTGGAAGCAACTGGGAACAACAGCAACTCAGCCACCAAGTGGTAGGCCACATAAAATGACAGAGGGGGTCAGCGCATGCACAGAAGTCACCAACTGTCTGCAGAGTCAATAGCTAAAGACCTCCAAACTTCATGTGGCCTTCAGATTAGCACAACAACAGTGCGTAGAGAGCTTCATGGAATGGGTTTCCATGGCCGAGCAGCTGCATCCAAGCCTTACATCACCAAGTGCAATGCAAAGCGGCAGATGCAGTGGTGTAAAGCACGCCGCCACTGGACTCTGGAGCAGTGGAAATGTGATCTCTGGAGTGACAAATCACGCTTCTGTCTGGTAATCTGATGGACGTGTCTGGGTTTGGCGGTTGCCAGGAGAACGGTACTTGCCTGACTGCATTGTGCCAAGAATAAAGTTTGGTGGAGGGGGGATTATGGTGTGGGGTTGTTATTCAGGGGTTGGGCTTGGCCCCCTAGTTCCAGTGAATGGGAACTCTTAAGGCGTCAGCATTCCAAGACATTTTGGACAATTTCATGCTCCCAACTTTGTGGGAATAGTTTCGGGATGGTCCCTTCCAGTTCCAACATGACTGCACACCAGTGCACAAAGCAAGGTCCATAAAGACATGGATGAGTGAGTTTTGAGTGGAGGAACTTGACTGGCCTGCACAGAGTCCTGACCTCAACCCCATAGAACACCTTTAGGATGAATTAGAGCAGAGACTGCGATCTAGGCCTTCTCATCCGACATCAGTGCCTGACCTCACAAATGTGCTTCTGGAAGAATGGTCAAACCTTCCCATAGACACCCTCCTAAACCTTGTGGACGGCCTTCCCAGAAGAGTTGAAGCTGTTATAGCTGCAAAGGACGGGGCCAACTCAATATTGAACCCCCAATACTTTTAGTAATATAGTGTGAGTATCCTCCGGCCTGAGAAGACATTATATAGCGCTGCCATAGACCGATGAGGGGACGGAGAGCAGAGCGGACATAACACATTTGCCTGAACATTGTCAGATATCATCCAACCAGCGCTGAACAGTCAGACCACTTTCCTGAGACGGGGCTGATATTTCCCCGGAACTATAATCAGCAGCGGAGGGGAGAGGATTGGACGCTGCACCGGAAGTTGATGTCCCTCAGAGGAAGTGGTCGCTCTGTCAGGTAGAGGAGGAAAGATGATTAAAGCGATTCTGGTGTTCAATAATCATGGCAAGCCGCGCTTCATACGATTCTACCAACACTTGGTGAGTTCTGTCTTGTGTGTGGCTCAGCCCTGCCCCTGTGTGTTATAGATGGTCCAGCCCAGCCTACTTCCCCCATGGATCAGAGGTCTCACCCGGCACGGTACTGCCTGACAGATGACCATTGAAGTAGACAATTCCAGTCCTGTCCTCCAGAGAGAAACTCAGCCAATAGATGTCAGTGCGGAGAGGGTTCTCAGACCTGCGGGCCTTCCATTGTTCATGTCATTGTAATCATAGCTGGTCATGCTGTGTGAGAGGAAGCCCGGTCCCCTGTATATATATTGTATATATGTATGGAGAAGACAGCCCCGGTCCCTGTTGTGCGTATGGGGGGGGGGGGGGCAGCCCCCCGGTCCCTGTTGTTGTGCGTATGCGGTATGGGGGGGGGGCAGCCCCGGTGGGGGGGGGCAGCCCGTTGTGCGTATGGTATGGGGGGGGGGGCAGCCCGGTCCCTGTTGTGCGTATGGGGGGGGGGCAGCCCGGTCCCCGTTGTGCGTATGGGGGGGGGGGGGGGGCAGCCCGGTCCCCGTTGTGCGTATGTCCCTGTTGTGCGGGGGGGGGGGCAGCCCGGTCCCCCGTTGTGCGTTATGCGTATGGGGGGGGGGGGCAGCCCGGTCCCCGTTGTGCGTATGGGGGGGGGGGGGGCAGCCCGGTCCCCGTTGTGCGTATGGGGGGGGGCAGCCCGGTCCCGGCTCTGCCCGGTCTGTTCATTCACATTGTGTCTTTGTGTCCTGCAGCCAGAAGACACGCAGCAGCAGATTATCCGGGAGACCTTTCATCTGGTGTCCAAGCGGGATGACAATGTCTGTAATTTCCTGGAAGGAGGAAGGTAACATCTCCATACATGACAGCTTTGTACATTCCCTTTCTCTGTGGGGTATCATGCTGCTCTACAGAGACCACCCAGAGTCCACATTGATGTCAGCAGGAAAAGGAGGCACTCCGCAGCCAGCTCTGACCCGTCATGCACCTTGTAAATGACAGATCTGATTACAAATATTTTTGTGGCATTAAAATAAAACCAAATAAGTGATGGATGTGACTGATATACAAAGTATGAGAAGGTTCAGATATAGAGTCCACGGGGCCCCTGGAATAGAGCTCCAGTCAAAGCGTTTTATTGATAATTATGGAATGTTTGGATTAATTATCAGGAGTTCTGTTCCCCCCATTGGAAGATTTCCTTGTATTCTGTCCTAATAACACAATGGTGTTGGATAGAAAATGTCCCTAAAGCCAGGGCACATCTCACCATGACAGTTCTCTACGAGGCAAGTGACCTCATTGGAAGATTTCTTCTCATTTCTTTTCTGAACTGTCATTGAGAGTCTGAGAGTCTCCCCACTATGGACACAGACAACCGTAACAACATGGCAGAAGTTATAATCCTTCCACACTGTAGCCAACGTTGTGGTTCCGTTTCCAGTATTAGTTTTGCCTGTACCGTGTGGGTCACACTGACCTGCTTACCACAGTACAGCTCCCAGGAAAAGAATGCAGCAGCCAAATGTATTGCTGTAAGTACTGATTCAGATGATGAAATTAAACTGGGGCTAAAGCATATTACAATAATTTTAGGTTTTATGGCAGTGGGGGGCAACTTTACTTAACATAGGGGTCCTAAAGTGTGGCCCCTGACGTCATCAAAGGGCTGCATATAATATTCAGTGAATGTAATGCTACACACAGCTAACTGCTGACACATGCAGCAGGAGATGGTCAGAGACTGTGAACATGCTAAAGGAGTTGTTGGTGTGGGGGCATGCTTCATTAAAGTGGAACCTAACCCTAAAGGGAATGCTCTGCTTTATCCCCCCCTTCTTATTTTGGCACCTTTTTGGGTGGGAGAGTAGGCACCTGGTTTTGACAGATAACTGCTCTTACTTCTTGTCTGATCACCACAGTGACTCCGCCAGAAGTTCACCCCCTGCAAGCAACCTTCGGGGATACGTCATGTCCCAGAAGGTTGCGGGATCATTCACAAATGCGCAAGGAATAGCCAGCTCCCCACAGTAAATATGCTGGTGCCAGGGACCCAAAGACTGGTGAAGAACCAGCCAAGATGAGGACAGTGCTGGACCCCTGGACAGGTGAGTGTTTTTTTTCTAAAATTTAGCATCTACAGTAATTGTAGTTGCTGACTTTTAATTTTTCTCTAACTGAAGCTCCTCTTTATGACAGATTACATGAGACTGCTAGAGACCACTGCTATTATTGCTCTTTTACAAATCAATGCTTCCACATTTGTTCCCTCTACAGCCCCTTAAAGTGTTACAAAACCCCGGACCCCACATTCACTATATCTGGTCTCCCACAGTACACAGAACATGGAAATGCAATTATTTTAGTAAATATAAACTGCTAAATACATTTTCTCATCAGTAGTTAGAGCAGTCTTGTGGCTTCTGGTTAAAGCTGAATACTGGTTAAAGATTGTAGGAGGAGTTTTCTCTAGGAGGATGTAGAACCCCTGACCTCTGTCTCGACAGTGCTGCTTGGCCCTGTGCTGATCACATGCACTCCCCCCCCCCCCCCCCCCCCCAAAAAAAACAAAACAAAAGAAAACCTCTCTGGCAATACACACCAAATTGAGCATATGCAGTGACTCCACACTGGAAGAAGGGGAGGATCAGAGAAGACAAGATCAAACAGCCTTTTTACACAATGTGAAGGATTAACCCCTTAGGTTCCACAGTGAGTATAACAAGCATGCTTAACTGCATATACAGACTGATTTTACTGTTGTGGGTTTTGTAACACTTTAACCGTTTCCCACCTGCCCTCAATGTACTGCGGCCAGGCGGCAGCTACGGGAAAAGCGACATACCTAGTGAGCTGTGATTGGCCCACAGCTGTTACATGATACATAGGGCCAATCACAGCACCTTGTACCATGTGACCAGCTCCAGCCAATCACAGATCACTATACTGAGCTGTTAAAACTGATTACAGGTCATGAATGAGTTAAGTTCATGACAGCAAGCTTGGCATTGCAGGAGAAATGATCTTTGCTTCTCCTGCAAAGCAAAGTGTAAAGAAGAAAAAAACAAAATCCTTGATTACCCCTTCCCCCCACAGTAGTACAATGTTACCATGGTAACATTGTGCTATTCTGATAAAAGTATTAAACAAAAATAATACCATATTGAGAATTTTTTTTATAATTTATTTTAAGAGGTTTTTTCTTTGTTTTTTTTAACTACTTGCCAACCGCTTACCCGCATTTTGTGAGTGAGCAGCAGCTCTTGGCAAAGTAACATAATCTTGCGTCACTTCGTATTTTGGGGTGTGAACGCACCTGCGCCCCCTGCTGCCCCCTCCCACCCGTTGATCCAGGGAGAGAAGAGAGAACACGGCACCAAGTAAAAGCACTACATTTTACACACATACGCCTTAGATTAGCACATTTAAGCCTTTGATCGCCCCTATTAACCCTTTGATCGCCCCGTCACCCAGCCAGTGCCACTAATACAGTGTCAGTATATAGAATATTTCACCTATCACTGCATTCCTGCCACTAGCGATATCAGATAACATCAGGGTCAGTAAGAGCCCCACCTAGCCAGGGTCAGCTAGTGTTAGATTGCCGCGCACTATCACACTCACGCTATAGGTCGCTGATCACTGCCATTAGTTTAGTGTTTGTACGGATCAGTAGTGATCAAGATGTTGATCACGTACAGAACTATTCTAGTGGCAAGTTTGTATAGTGTCCCCAAAATCGCAGTGTTGGCAGGATCTGCCCAGTACTAGCGTTTAGCCCCTCCGCTGTTTTTCACGGACGATTTGTACCAGTTGATTGTGGGCCAAAGCAATTTATACGCACAACAATACATTGCCGCCCACCCAAATTCAGCTCTTGCCAATTTGTATGGAAACCTATCACAGTTTCTGAATTTAAATTTTGGGCATAGCCATTATAGGCATCATAGGCATTACAGAAAAGAATGAATTGCGGTCACAGAGCCAATTCATCATATGCCCGTGTTCTCTGCTGTTACATATATGCCCAACATGGACCAGCAATGTACTGGTACATTGCTGGATTTTGAGTTATTATACCGGGATGATGCCTGCAGCGACTTTTTTTTAAATTCCTTTTTAAATTTTTATAGCAGAATTTTATGTTGATATACTAAAAAGAACAAGAAAAAAAAACAGGGGTGATCAAATACCACTAAAAAAAAAATCCATTTGTGTGAGAAAAAAATAAATTTTCATTTGGGTACAGTGTTGCATGACAGTACAATTGCCAATTAAAGTACGTGGTGCTAAATACCAAAAAATGCCCTGGTCATGAAGGGGGTAAAACCTTTCTGGAACTCAAGTGGTTAAACAGTGAGACTTGATGATTATAAAAATAAGTGATGCACTTTCTTTCTTTAACCGTTTTCAGCTTTTATTTAATGAAAGTGTATTTTAAACAGCTCCTATAATGATGGTTAATAAACTGTTTTATTACTTTCCTGTAGTTTAATTGGTGGGTCTGACTACAAGCTGATTTATCGCCATTATGCCACGCTGTACTTTGTGTTCTGTGTGGATTCCTCTGAAAGTGAACTGGGCATTCTTGACCTCATCCAGGTAATTAAAACTATTTTTTATGTGTTACAGAAACTTACGTCAGCAACATGCAGATGATGTAGTGAAAGGTCCAGGGACTATCTATTCTTATCATAGTTGGGGCTGTAAGTTGTGGTTTTGTGGGATGGATTGTGTGCAATTTACTGGAATTCCGCAGACTGCAGTTTTTATAATATATTGGGGCCTTGAGTAAAAATCTTAGCTGAATCAAAAGTGACAAACTGTTTAATTTGAAGTTATTAAAATATTTCCGATGGAGGTGGGGAGCTTGATTGTTCTGTTGCAATGTACATACAGAAATTAGAATTGTCCAGCTGTGCACCCACCACCTAAAGTATACTTCTTAGTTCCACGTAAATGATTGTTCATTATAATAGGTGACTTCTGACAGGCATATCAGTAATGCTGGGTACACATATTGTTTATTTTCCCTTCAACCCAGCTCGCTGAATAGAAAAAAAAGCTGAGGAGCTCACTGCACTAACTATCCAATGTTAATACAGCGATCTCCCCGCCGAGCTTTTGTATTCTGACTGGAGGACCACCCCTCCCATGCCTGCCAGAATACACTGCTCAATGCTTAAAGCCATTGGCTTCCAGCTCTGATTGGATGCTGATTGAATGTTGGTTTTCATGTCAGCCGATAGCAGGCATTAGCCAGCTATTAAAGTACGTGTGTGTGTGTGTGTGTGTGTGTGTGTGTGTGTGTGCAAATTTTGTGTAACTATATCCATATATAACTAAAAACATTCATTAGATATAAATCAAAAACGGCATACTAATGTTTTTAGTTATTTAATGTCAATGTTTTGATGAAGCTCCATCTTTCTCAAGACACTACAACATAGAAGTGAATAGACTAATAAACCCAAAATCCCACCCACGAATAACACCTTCTAGTAATGACCTCACACCATGCAAGGGTTAAAAGACACGTACAGGGAAAAGCTCAAATAAGATCACAAAAGTAGTAAATCACAATAGTTCATGTTCACTTCTATGTTGTAGTGTCTTGAGAAAGATGGACTAAGCTTCATCAAAACGTTGACAATAAAGACACTGCTGTTTTTAATCTTCCTCCTGTACAAGACCCGTGTGTGCCTGTAAATCAGTTTTGGATTATATGGATTTCCTTTTTTTTTTCTTTTTTTGTGGGTGAGCACCATGGCATCTCGTAGAGTGCCATGGCTATCTTTTAGAGATAGATATAGATATATATTCTTAAGATGCACCTAGGTTTTAGAGGAGAAAAACAAGAAAAAAAATATTCTGCACCAATGGACTGCAGACACAGTACAGACACCAGACTACAGGACAGTACAGGAGACGGACCAGAGACTGCGGACACAGTACAGGAGACGGACCAGAGACTGCGGACACAGTACAGGAGACGGATCAGAGACTGCGGACCTTTAGGGAGGGAGGGGGAGCGGGTACCGGAATTTGACAGGTACCCGCTCCCACTTCCGCGGAGCTGTCCTCCCTTTACTGTGGGCACCCGGCTGTGACAGCCGGGTGCCCACTGCGCATGCGTGAGAAGCGCTGCAATTTGTGCATGGCCCGGCGTCTTCAGGGACCTGTCATGTGTCCCAGAAGACGCTGGACCATTCACAAAGCACAGCGCTTCTCACGCATGCGCAGTGGGCACCCGGTTGTCACAGATGCTGGCGCGGGAAGACTGTGCAGCGCTGGACTGAGGAACAGCTGAGCGGCTGGCACGCTATTCTGACATGGTGGCGGCGGCGGAAATACCGTATCGGCCGCTTTATATTTGCTCCATAAGACGCACTGACATTTCCCCACCTTTTTTGGGGGGAAAAAGTGCGTCTTATAGAGCAAAAAATACAGTATTTTTTTTTTTTTTTCCCCTCAGGGTACAATCAGATGTAGCGCTCCCAGTTGTACTTTTAGCAAGCTGCTGCACTAATTACTAATTCTGTGGCACAGTTCACTGATACCTACACTCACTGGCCACTTTATTAGGTACACCTTGCTACCCGATGTGGTATTTTGCTGCAGTAGCCCATCTGCTTCAAGGTTCGATGTGTTGTACATCCGGAGATGTTATTCTGCATACCTTGGTTGTAACGAGTGGTTATTTGAGTTACTGTTGCCTTTCTATCATCTTGAACCAGTCTGCCCATTCTCCTCTGACATCAATAAGGCATTTTTGTCCACACAGCTGCTTCTCACTGGATATTTTCTCTTTCAGACCATTCTCTTTAAACTCCTAGAGATGGCTGTGTGTGAAAATCCCAGTAGATCAGTAGTTTTTGAAATACTCAGACCTGCCCGTCTGCCACCAACAACAATGCCACGTTCAAAGTCACTTAAATCTCTTTTCTTCCCCATTCTGATGCTCGGTTTGAATTTCAGCAAGTCGTCCTCACCACGTCTAGATGCGTAAATGCCATGTGAGTTGCTACCATGTGATTGGCTAATTAGCAGTTGAACAGGTGTACCTAATAAAGTTGCCGGTGAGTGTATATAGTAGCCTGCTATTAGCTGACTCTGGGTCACAGGAGGGAAAAAGTAAATGCACTCCTGTGACCCAAAAAGATAAGTATGGTCAAAAAAAGCTTTGGCAGTACTTATTAGTAATGACACCTGAGATTGTTGATCCAGGCAATATCTGATTGCCTTCTGGTGGATCATGAAGGCGTTTGTTTTTCCACTGCTGGAGCAAATTGGACATTTCTTTATGTAGGTTTTTTTGCTTTCCTATGGATCGGCTGTGTCTGTATATGGATATTTTCTATTTATTTATTCTTTTTTCTGTATTGAAGTTGACAAACTTGTCGTTTTTTTTTTTTTTTTTTTCCTTTTTCCAACATGGCTCACTATATGAACCCACAGTAGTGGAATTTCAGGATCAAGCCTTGCCTTGACAAGGGTCAATTCTGAAACGTGTTCACTAGCAACCAAATCCTGATACGCGTTCTAGCAGCTAGACCCAGAAATATATATAGAAGAACAATGTCCGCTATCAAAAAAAATGTGAAAAACCCCCTAATTAAGCTGCTGCAATAACACTTATAAGTGATCCCACACTCAAATCATATAAATAGAACAACAGTGTTGCGCTAACTCATAAATACAATAACTTGTGAAATTAATAACCAGAAAAGTCCTTATAATGAATGTGAATCCAACCAGACAATGGTGCTTGAAAAGGTACTTATTATATGCAATGTGCTCCAAAAGCTGTAACTAAAACGACAGTGCTCCACCGCAGGGGCGGACTGACAACTCATGGGGCCCTCGGGCAATAGGGGATCATGGGGCCCCTGTGTCCTTGCCCAAACTCAAAAAAGCCTATGAAAAAGGTACCAGGGGCATCTCATGGGGCCCCCTACTGACCTCGGGCCCTCGGGCAGTGCCCGAGTTTCCAAATGGTCAGTCCGCCGCTGCTCCACCGTGACTTAGTGCACCTCCACCTACAGGTATGGATGGCCACTCACCTCATACAGTGGATCCATAAATTATTACAGGTCAACCAAGCATAGTAGTTCCATCAAAGAGACTCCAGATGGCTGCAAAGAGCTGATAACATGCACCACTTCAGATGACACTATACACGGAAATCTTCTCAGCTTTATACTCCACATGTAGGAAAGAAGGAACAACTCCCATAGCATAATACCGTTTATTAATAAAAATCTATTCCAGAGTAACAGTCACATGGTATTGGATAATGCTGTGTCAAAATCGATCTGTATTATTAAACATGTTCTCAGTGGACTTTTTTTGTGAGTGTAATTATTATCTTTTGTTACACTTTTTCAAGATGTCATGCTTCATGCACTAGGGGGTTTCCTTTTCTTTTTTCCATGTGCGTTGTTTGACATCCCCCTAAATTTATTGGATAAACATTCAATGGAGACCCACTTTAGACTACTAATAGATAAATGTCAATGACAAGGGCTCAGCAGGCAATTGTGTATTGACTATAATTGTTGTTAGAAGATAGTAGTAGAGTTAGATAGAACTTCTGAATTTATAACGTCAACACAAACCTAAAGGAAGTGTTTGTTACTGAGATACTGAGATTTGTATAACAATATCAAGTGATATGTAATGGCATTTGTAAGGCAGGCCATAGATGATGCTTTTTTTTTTTTTCCTGCAGCCCATAGCTTGATTCCCTCATCAACACAGCCTGTGTTGATGGGTAAATCCTTCCCGTGAGGTGTGGGGAGCCATCCCTGCTGGCAGAACACACAGTCATTATTGCTAGCGGCTATCATCACATGTAAAAATCCGACATGCTGGTTTTACTCAAGTCGATCCATCAATCGACTTGGGTACAATCAGCCTGCCCATAGATGAATTAGATCTCATCTGATCCCTGCTGAACCAGCTGAGATGCAAACCATCTATGGCCAGCTTTAGTCTCTCAAGAGAAACTCTTGGTATATATCTTGGGGAGAAGCAGTGGGGCAGATGAGGGTTATGTGGGCAGGATAGGACCACTCTCATGCTGCATAGTTTTTGTTTTAGGCACAAAAAAACGTAAAAGCAGCGCCTAGGACCTACAACAAGGTAATGCCATATGGCATGGTAGGTTATGGTAATACACTGATATGTACCACAGTAACCTCTGCCGATTCACCGGTAAATAAAATTTAAGTGAAGTGGTGAGATCTGTGTAATTCAGAAACTCTGCTGCAAAAAGAAATTAAGGCTATAGGGAGCCCAAAAGGAAGTTACCATACGTATACTTCGGATTAAAAAACAAAAAAGGCTTTATTATATCAAAATTACAAAATACACCAAGGAGCAATAAAAACATTACCTTCACCACACAAAATACTTGAAAAGACAATGTTGTCTAGTCATTAGGACAGCTGTACAGCCAGCCACACACACCCCATGCACATCCAGTCATTAGCGCCCCACTAATAGAAAGTAACTGGGCGGTAACATATGGTCAGTACTATATTAATTATGGACCTATTATGGCTCACGGGCATGGATAACAGTTCTTGTGGGTAAGTGGA